TCACATGCCAAGAAATGGAAATAGAAGACTTTTACACTCTCTCTGGCACACACACACACTCACTCACACACACACTCAGACCACATGATGGTTCGCTGTCTGAACTTCTGCTGAGCCCTGACTATTTTAGATAGAGAAAATGTGTGTGTGTGTGTAGTTCCCTTTCTATTGGTCATCACTTCCTGAGGAAAAACATGACCACGCTCCATTCCTCTGTTCTGACACCACCACTGTCATCAAGAAGCCCAGCAGTGGACTGACCGATCACTCTCCGGTCCAAGACAAGAGACACAGGGTGAGTGGACAGTCGTAGACCCCGGGTGGGCGTGTGTTCGTGTGCGTTGCTGGCTGTCAACCTGATTTTTCTGTGTAAACTATTTTTGCTCATGTATACATTAAGCCTCTCTCAGATGATTTATCTGCTCAGATGCTCAGTTTGGTGTACGGACAAAAATGTTTTACTCCAAAAGAAGTGAATAAGAAAACGATTGACTTCATGACGTGCGGTGGCTGAATATTCATAAAACAGTTTTCTGTCCATCAGGCTGTGTGTTCTCTGGTGTATTTTCTTGTTTATGAAGCGGTTTTAGTTTGAAATGTGAAAGAAGTTTGCTATATGTGGCGTATGCTTTATATGACCCACAGATGGTGATTAAAAATGCCCTCAAAGGAACCCCGCCATCAATTTAGATTTCTTTGCAATTTGTTTGCAGGCCTATTTTTAAGGACTTGCTAAGGCAAAACAGACAACCAATAAAGGCAATACTGAAGACTGGCTTTGCTAACAATGGGTGTCTGTTGCATTCTCCAGCTGACCTCCAGTAGACCTGTTGTTCAAACGGGAATATTAGAGAAAAAAAACCCGAAAATGATTCAAATCAATAAGATCAGATTGAAATCAGAGAGAGGTTGTCTGAGTACATTTTCAGTCAGAGCCGTGCCCAGCAGACAAAGATTGTGGTTTTTAACGTCCCACAGAACCAGACATTGAAGATTTAGTGATTCAGTTCAATACCAACCAAGCAAGTGGGTTTTTAGACATGAGGAGACTTTCATTTCTGTCAAGAGGGCACCATGACACTTTGGATGCCTGTGGTTTTCCACTACTCTCCTGTTTGATCATTCAGATGCTAAGGGGGAGGCCCTTTCAGGTAAATCTGCCTCTTGTGGCTTCACACCTCTGAATTTGTTTGCAAGTTACATTTTAAAAAAATATGTACACTTTGCAGCTTTTGGTTGGTAACACTTGAGTATTTCTCTGGTTATACATTTAAATCCAATACACCAAGAATATTTTTCTTTGCATGCTGTTTCCGGAGTCCCACAGGACTAACCAGGTAAAAATGAAGCACGCCACTCTTTTCAAAGAAATAGAGAGGACTGTGAGGCAGACGTGCAGGCGGGCATATCTTTGTTTTAGTCACTGACACTGAACCACAAGCTGTTTTACTTGAAGAGGTCAGGAAGTCACAGAGCTCACTCTATGCACTGTCTCTCTTTTCCTTGCTGTCACCCATAAACACATTTAGTGCCTTCACAGGACTATGATCATGTAAATGACTTGCAGGGTGACAAAAAGATAAAAGAACCCTCTCCAATAGAAAGTAAATACTGAAACATGTCACTTTATCTTCAGGTTCTTACGAAGGCAACAGTCTTCAATAAACTTGGTAGATTGAGCAAAGTTATGCAAATAAACAGCTCTGTCAGATGAAAGAATAAAACATTGACCTCTTTTTTTATTTAGCTTTTGTTATTCTCAAGCAAAATTAACTAAAAAAAAACTTTTTTGCCTGATAAGAGTGGTTCATTCCTCACCCTCAAACAAGGTGCATTGTCTCTTTATTCGTTCTGAGAAGATAAGCGCATTAAAGCCTTGAATGCAGCAAGGCAGGTTCTCCTTTTTGTCTCTCACATAACTTCATTTACCAGACTGCCTCTATGTTCACATCTCCGTTCATTCTTTATGTTCATTTTTTTTGGCTAATTTTTAAATTACTTGCTGCATAGGGATGTCATAGGCCTCTATACCCTCTGGAGAAATGATGACAAAATGAGATATCTTCTCACTACAGAGCTCTTTGGTGGGCCTTGCAAAGTAATTAAAAGCTCATTCATTTTATTTTACTCCCCTTTACCAAATGGTTGCTGAACAGATCTGTATAGTAAACGTGTCCCCTTTCCTTTATTGTGTGAATATGTCTCTTTTGGACACATTGCTTTTGTGAAGAAATGGAAACACTGAAAATACATATAGGCTAACATATATATTTGTTTTGAAACTCTGTCCTGTAAGGAGAGGTTTGACCTCTGTTTTATCTCCTTAAGCTGTTGCATTAAGCATTAGTACACATTTGATTTGAGCTTGTTTGTAATTTAAACATTTAGCAATTAAAGCTCAGTTTCCCAGCATTCACATACTGACAATCACTTGGTTTAGCTGATAAAAAAAGAGCAGTTGTCTGACCCACCTACCAGTTTGCTGTAGGTGCTTTGTTGTTATGTCATGGCTGAGGCACTAGATAATAGAAAGTACTCCAGCAAACTGCTGTCTTTCCTGGATGTCAAGTTCTGACTCGTGGAAATCTGAGAACTGACTGGATACACATGCACACACCTTGCAAATGCAAGACACACTACATATCCCCTGCTAATCATTTGTCACCTTTTATAATGTCTGACAACCTGTTTTCCCACAGAATGCTCACAGATACAAACTTGTTGAATCTGAATAGATATTGCACGACATTGTTTCCATTTACAATCTCAGCAGAGAAGTTTCAGCCCCGACTTGTTTTACACCCTTAGTTATGACATGATTTAAGAATCGGGGTTTAACTGTCAGGCTGCAGTCGTCTCTTTTTTTCATTCCAAATTGTGCTGAACACAAGGCATGAATTGACTAAGATGAGGGGTTTTTCTTGGAGTCTCCAGGGTGCAGTTCAAGTTTCTTAAGTGGTCCACGGATTCACCCGTCTTGCTTTATCTCTCTTGCCTTTGACCTGTGGTGCTCTTTCTCTCTCCCACTAGATTTCTTTCTCCATCTGATGACTTGATGCCAAGCAGAACAAAAGTCGCTCCAGTGCTCCATCTATTTTAGCTTTGGATCACCTGGCACCTGGCCAGGAAATGGAAAAATAACTAGGTTTCTCTGGTTATTAATAGTCAGCTTCCGAGGCAGTGGAAGCTACTGCATGTATACCCACTGGTACACACTCAGACGCACACACTGACTATTTATCTACTGTAAAGAACAATACCTCAGTCCATGTGAATTTTAAGTGGACCCACACTGATTTTCGCTGTCACATTCCAAGCAAGTAAAAAGGAAACAATATGTAGTTGGGAGAGGAGGATGTTTGTTCCAGAGGGATGTTTTGCCAAGTAATTTGGAGCCATTTCAATCCATTTTTATACCAGGTGCTTCTCTGCCATCCAGGCATTACTATTTTAGTTTTGCCCTGTTGCATAATTCCTTGCATTTTTTCTACATATTTGTCCAAGTCAGGGACAGCAGCTTAATTAGTGACGGTTTATTTTGAGATTCTGTGCTGGTTATAAAGGTTACTTGGCAGGTCAGGCAGTTTAGTGCACAGAACTTTGGCTTAATTGATTATTTATAAACTGTTGCAATCCGTCCTTTTCTTTTCACAGTCTCTTTTGTTCAAATCAAGGTCAAATCTCAAAAATTGGTCAAATCTGTAACATAAATGTGTTATAGGAAAAACATAGAGAAAGAATAAAAAAAATGAAAACATTACTAATACAGATATCTTACTAATACAGATATCTTTAAAAATCTCAGATTAATGACATACTAAATATACTAAGGAAGTACACAATTAAACTGAAACTTTACTAATAATATGCTATTCTGTTTACAACTTCATTCTTTTTTAATGCTAAAGGGCTCACTGAAAAAACTGAGGGGTCGATAAACATAAAACCAACATCACAATATTCAGAATTTTTCTGTTACATCAGAGCCTTGTACAAACGTATCCCTGTGTGTATAGCCCTCTATCTGGTTTGCTTTCATGTGGTGGCCAGAAGTAACCACTGATATCCAGACTTTGAACATCTCACCTGATTTTTCTCATCCAATGTCTGCCTATCTGAGTTAGATATTGGAACAAATAAACTTTCCCCATTCATGTGCACTAAAAATAGATTACTCCATCAACAGGGATTTGTAAGGTATGAGTCTATTTAATTGATTTTTAAAAATATATTTGCTTGGACTCACCACTGTGTACATGAATTTTGCATATTTGGAGGAATGCCAATTCACCCCCTTCCCCAAACCCCAAATTCCTAGAAGTTGAGAAAAGTTCCTCCCAATTCACTGCTCAATTTCCAGTTTCCAGACTCTTTCTTAAACATTTCAGCACGAAGAAAGTGCAGTCTGTTCCACTCAAAAGCTAGTGCTAAATCCTTGGCCTGCTTTCAGTGTCCTTTAGTTGGGCAATCATACCATTAGCCACCCAAACAGCATCAGAGGAGTGCAGTGTTTTGAGCAGAGGAGACTTTCCTCAGTGCCAGAGTTCATTTTGTACTCCCTGTGACACAATCTGCCTCCCTGTTTGCTAGATAACAGACAGACAGCAGGAATGAGCAGGAGGACGGCAGCTACTCCTCGTGGTGTTTGTATGGGAGTGTGTGTGCACACCCTAATGTTTTGAACTTTTCTGAGTAGACATATTTAATGATTAACCCTCTGTGGAATGCTGCGTGTGGGCATGAAATTTACTTCTATTGTCATATTTATTTTTCCTTTTCCTCTAGTGGTTGACCTTCAATCATCTTATCCTCTTTCTCTCCTTCTGACTCTGTCTGTCCAACTTTTTCCACTTCCTCCCCTCCCCAGCAGTTCCTCTACTACTGTTTTCTTTTATCAAGGTTACATAAAGTCGGCACATGATATAATATCATTTGTCTGCTGTGCAATATCCTTTTGCATCGGCTAAGGCGTTCCTGCTTCTTCTCTCTGTGCTGCAGACATGGTGGACACGCAGCAGCTCCTGGCCTGGCCTGTTGGTTTCAGTCTGAGCACCGTCGACCTACCAGAGCTGGACGATAGCCCACACTGCCTCGACATGAAACATTTGTCCACGTCAGACTATGCCTCCGTTTCCTCCTCCTCCATCCCTTCCTCCTTGTCTCCCCCGCTTATGTCCTCCATCTCATCCGCTGGAATGGCCTATGACCTTAGTCCACCACAGAGTGAAGAACACCTGACCAACATGGACTACACAAACATGCACAGCTACAGGACAGAGCCGGACACGAACAGTAAGTAGAGTCAGTTTATCAGACATAAAGTATGTTTTTTCATAGCAAAATCATTTCAATCGATTTAAATTCCTTAGATAGGAAACTTTGTTTTAAAATGTAGTTATTTATTGATACATTTTACTTAAAACACAAATGGGAGCTTACGAAACCAAGTTTAACCAGAATTTTTTAACCCCTCAGATGAATGTCTAAGCAATCTTTCTGCCCGGCCTTTCTGATCTTGTTTTCTTCCGTCAGATTGCATCAAGTTGGAGCCAGAGTCCCCGCCACAGTACTCAGACAGCCCAGTGTTCTCTAAAGTTCCCGACGATGCATCAGCAACAACATTAAACATCGAGTGTCGTGTGTGTGGAGACAAAGCATCCGGGTTTCACTATGGTGTCCATGCCTGTGAAGGCTGCAAGGTAGGCCTGAAAGATATCGTGACTGAATGTGAAAGTGAAATATTTTAGCAATACTTTTTTTTTTTCGGTCCTCGATATACGCAAATCATCTTGATTACTATTGGAAAGAAGGCAGCATGTTCCCAGAAAAGGCAAATGTGATTGAAAAACAAGTTTAATGTAGCTGTGTTGTCTATATCTACAGATATATCTAGATGTAGTTTCAGATGTTTTTCTGGCCACTGCATAAAATATTAATCTGTTGAGGTCCACATAACTCTAATTGAGGAGAAAGTCATTTGCCGCTAAATGTTTTGGAACATTTAAACTAAAAGTCTTTGGCAGTAGATAACCCATTTTTAGTCCCCACACAAAAAGTTGCACTTGAACTTGAAAAAAACATTGACAGTCAGACCAACTCAGAGCTGTGTCAGGAAATGGGTAATGGTTGTTACAGCTTTACTGCACTCAGTTTTGTTCTTTCTTTTGATGTCACCTTTCGGTGAAGCATGTCGGTGGAATAAATAATTGTATTATGCTTGGAGAGATGTGAGCCATTTTTCAAATCTTTTTCATGTCTGTCACTCTAACCGCAAGCCCCATACATTTTCCACGCACCAGGGCTTAACGCTGTGTGCCTCTGCAGAAATAGAGCTAGCACCTTAAACTCTCCGTCTGTCTTGACTGTATGTCTAGAGTTTTAAATAACTAATAGAGTAAGGGGGAAGTTTCAGACATATTTCCATTTTCTTTGAAATATTGAGGCATCGGTGGAAGATGATCTAAAATTTGTGACATAGTTTTCCAGACAAGAATTAGGATATTTCAGTTTCAGAAGTACTATGCATACATCTTTTATTTGATTCCAGCTGCAAAGATTTGCATGTGATTCATGTAACTGTGGAAGGTTCAAAATAAATTATTTTTAAAGAAATTAAGGATTGGTGGAATTCAGATCTTGGATGAATAGAAATTATGAAAAGGGTTTTACTCATTTTTATTTGTGTATATGTTAGTTTTGGTGTGTTCATTTGGAATTATAATCGTCCTGCACTATATGAAAAAAACTGTAAAAAGGGGATATTCCAAATCACTGTTTGAGAAAGACATTCTTGGTTTTTAATTTTCTGTTATTCTTTATTCAAAACAAATCAACAAACTTTTAAGATTCTAAGCATTTGCTTAACAATACACCTTATTTTCGTGAACTCACTCGTATGATACTTATTGTGCCATTGGAGTGTAGTTGCAGCCTTAACAATAACCATTGAGGTGAAACAGACCCTTTTATCACTGTCAGAATTGTTGCCCTACAAGGCATTCATGTTTTTCTGTCCTCTCAGTCATACTGTACCTTCAGGGGTTGAATGAAGGTAAGGTACAGTGCTTATTGTTCTCTTAAAGTCTCAGGGGAGACTTACCAGAAGAGGGGGGTCAGCCAAGCAGGCAATCCCTTAATTGTTTCAAAACAGAAAACATTCTTTATTGAGGTGGAGTCTTGACCCCCTTTAACTTCCTCTTACTATAAATAACCTCCGATTAAAAATGGAACATCTGTGAATCTTAACTGTGTAGATTCCAAATGTGATCATTCTTATTGAGTTCTGATGGGAATTCTGATGGGTATTTTCATTGTTACCTCTGCAGCCTAATGAGACTATTTATGTAGAATTAACGCGTCTCAGAAAAATTCTGGCCTTATGGTTATTGTGGTTGAATGTTTAAAAGCACAAATATGAAACACAATCTGCTTATGAATACATTTGTAAGCAGTGTAATTGACTTCTTCTTATATTAATGATCAAAAGTAAAGTACAAGTATTACTTGTTAGCATAAGTGAAGGCTATTTCTTTTCTATATCTCATCTCTACCTGTTACCTGTTGCCCAAATGCAATCCATACAGTGCAAATACTCTGTAGTAACTACCTTCTTTTCCTCTTGTAGGGTTTTTTCAGACGCACAATCAGATTAAAACTGGTGTACGATCATTGTGATCTTCACTGTCGCATTCACAAGAAGTCCCGCAATAAATGCCAATACTGTCGTTTCCAGAAGTGCCTTAATGTTGGCATGTCGCACAACGGTAAGAGGGTGATGCTGTCACACACACTTTTAATGTCAATTTACATTCACTGTATTCTTTTTCACTGAATATTTCCTGAGAAATATGTTATGTAGAAGTTGAAGCGATTGCAGTCTATCAACAAAAACTGTCAATAAAGTCAAGTTTGATGTTTTAGCAGCTTTTCTGCAGATAAGACTGAAAGCCTCTCTTTGTAAGGAGAAGTAGGTTAAAGACACTGGTTCTAATTTGAAGCTGTGGTCCAGGAAATGTATCTTCAGAGAACAACTTCTCTGCTTCTGATGCCCTCTGAGAACAGCAAACACTGCTGACCACACCACTGCAAATATAGTCTCAGAGGTGTGGTGGAAGTATATACAGCAATCTGCCTTGATACCTTATATGTTGCCTGTTTTTCTACTGTGGTTTCTGGTCTTTATTGCAGCCCTCGGTCACATTTCAGTTCCCATCACTGGCTTTAAGTACAAGTCAGCCTTTAGCATGATTCACAGATTAGCCACACTGGTCAGTGGCTAATTCAACAAGCATCCTTTATTCAAAGTAAAATAGCCTCTTTAAGTTGGATGAAATCTCTCACAGTGACACAAACTTCATGGGTAAAGTATGTAAAGTGGAATTAATAATCATAATATCAAGTCTTTCATTTCGACTTTGTTCTTACTGATGATTACGTTAAGAGTCTGATAGTAAAAAACCTTTACAGCAGATGACATTTAAGATATTCATGGACGTTTATGGACAACACCTACACAAATGTCATGGACACATAGTTGACACAGTGACCATTCACATGAGCTTTTCCCTTCATGGGGGCTTCCACACTTCCACCAGTGAGAGAAATTGTTCCCAGGATGCAAAATCCACAGTGAGAGCGCACGTGAAAATTTGTCTTCTTCACAATTAGACCTAGTCCCTCACCCACCACTGTTCAGCATTAGAATAGCTTTGTTTTGTCAGTCATTGTCGGTCACTGAAGCCTGACAGACTCCGCCTCCTCAGGTGTGTTTGACTATGCGGCTCATGACTGTACAATCATACAGAGCTTTGGTTTGATTGTCATCTCCTTGACTCTCCTGTTAGTTTTGTTGCACCTGTTAGGGTGGAATAGCTTGTAGTCCTTTCACTCTTTGACCCTGGGTGATTTGAAGAATATGTAAGAAACTCCACATTCCATAAACCAACAAATACATTTTCTTTGAGACATTGACAACGCCTCGAATTTTTATCTTAAAACTGTGTGATGTCACATGTCTTATGTAATAAATCACTGAATCCGTATCAGAAGCTATTTATAAGCTATTTTGGTAGAGAGCAAGAATCTTCAGTGATTAATTATATCTGTCTCATAAAGAAAATATTTGCCTCGTAAAAGTATGTGAGAGATGGAAGGGGACTTGTAAGATGTTGTCATGGTTTTATCTGCTGAGGAAAGAATTTAAAGGAATCAAAAGAAAGTAGGCAAAGTCTTTATTTACAAAATGTTTTATTAGTCATTATGTTGTGTCTTCTCAACCACTGTGGTGCAGGCTTATTTAAGCCCAAGCAGCCTCTGTTGGAAATCTTCCTCACAGTGGAGAAGAATGAGACTGGGAGGACACGCAGTAAAAGGGTCCTGTGCCGGGCCTCGAACTGGTTTAATCCTCTGTATATGGGCTGCCTGCTCAGCCTGCTCAGCCTGCTCAGCTAACTGAATGTACGTCATCCAAATTTCCAGAGTGAAAACTGCTTCCCACTCAGTCTGGAATATTGATAGTCTAGCAATCAAGTCGCTGCACATTCACACTGTTTGCGCTTTCCTTTCTCGCCACTTATCTGCCCGTCTGTCTCTCTGTCTCCATATTCCCTCATATCTACTTCATGAGGTTATAGTCGGCGCTTTGAAAAAGTGCCCTGTGTGGGTTTTTCTTTTTATTAATGATTGACATCTGAGACCGCTTAAGATCAACTGAGTTCTCCAATGTGCTGTGTCATTGCTGCAGACTCGTTGCCAAGCAAGTGGCAGGGCCACCTTAGCTGGTATTCATTTGCTTAGGGTGTGCATCTATGACATTGTCAGCATTACATAATCAGATGATTTATGAACTAGAGAATAAGAGCATGGGTTTCAAAGAAGATGACAAATAACTGATTACATCCACCTGTAAAGGAGTTTGTTCATGTCACGCCCTGGCATGAAATTTCATCTTATTGTTATTTGATCCAGAACCATAGAATCCAAAGTTAGATTTTAGCTTTAATCTTTGAAAATAACATTATAATATATATATATAGTATTTATTTGATATATATATATATATATATAATATAAAAATATCTCTATTTATTGTATCATTTTTTAGCTTAGAGATTTTTTTAAAGTCATATGAGGCGAATAAAACATTTCAGTAAGGCAGAGATAGTGAATACATATGTAAAATTACTTTGATACCAGATGTATATACAGAAAGATTTCAGATAAAAAAAAATTGAAAATTGACTCAGACCCTAAGTTAGTTAGTCAGATTATCTATGAAGATGTTATATGTTGTAAACAGGTCATCTCGGCCTCTTTTTATGATTTCATGTAGTTAGAAGTGTAACACTACCTGTATCAACTGGAGGGAAATGGAGGGGAAAGGGGAGTAGATAAGCATACCTTTTTCAGTGAGCTGTGAAAACATAATTACAAGCAAATTATCAGAGTGAACAAGATGTCGCAATGCCTCACAAGACAACTTCATAAAGAGACAAAGGGACCATCTGTCATGTTGTTTACTGGATTTGTCCCCTCATTTAATACGATCAACCACCAGACTCATTTGTTGTTTGAGTATTTACTCCATGTGTCTGCTTGCAGTTTCAGAATGTTTTACAGTCACTGACTCATGAGAAAGACCTGCTATTTTATGTTTAAAACAGGCTTGCAGAGCAGATTTGAACAATCAAGACAGGGCATGTTTCATTGCAAGAACTTTACCAGTTCCATTAAGTTTTGTGGCTTACATTTTCAACATTTAGTCAATTGCAAATATAGATAATCGTGTCCTTGTGAACCACAACAGCCGTCAGAGTTCTTCGTGTTTTTGTCTATTTTGTTCACCTTGAAAATATTTGAAATGTTTGGAAACCAAGTGGACACCAGGAATGATGTTCTCCACTAGTGGACATGTCAGAAATGCCTGTTTCTGTGATGCTCAATGTGCGTTTCTGTTTCCTTTCCCAGCCATCCGTTTTGGCCGAATGCCTCAAGCAGAGAAGGAGAAACTACTGGCTGAATTCTCATCTGACATGGAGCACATGCACCCTGAGGCAGCAGATCTAAGGGCTCTGGCCCGGCATCTGTATGAAGCCTATCAGAAATACTTCCCCCTCACCAAGGCCAAGGCCAGGGCCATCCTCTCTGGGAAGTCAGGAGACAACGTGGTAAGCAGCAAAGTTACACTTTGCCGATGCTTTATGCGTAAAGATTTCAGGGAGAGATAATAAATGAGCAGCAAATTTTAGTCAAAGCAAAGCTAGTCAAGCAGATGTTAAAACATTAAACGGAAATCTGTGTTGGACTCACACATGAAGTTGATGTTAATAATTAAGGCGGTGTGTGTGCCATCTATCTGTGAACTCTACATTTGCTATACATTCTGGTCTGTTTTGGGCCTCTGGAAAACATTTACTTCCCTTTTAGCTTTTCTCTGCACAAATGATGGAAATGTCTTTTTATTCTTAAGACTCTTGATCCGGAAGAATTATATTTTAGCCTTTTGTTAAAGTATATGAAAATTATAAATTATATGAAAGTTATAAATGAAAGAATGTAAAAGCTTTCGTTTAGAAAAAGTTTTAACTCTTAAGTGTGTGTGCGTGTGTGTTTCTTCTTCACATCACCACACTCGTTTAAGGCTATTATTTGTTTTTGTTTTTAAGCTGTTATAGCAGCTGACAACAAATTCATTCCCTCTGTGCAAACTGTAGGAAAATATCTCAGATTACAACTGTCAAACTTTTATTCTATACATATCTGGAATGTTGGAAATGTGGTCTTGATAATGAGATATTCATTTCTGTGTTTTTGACATGTTCATCCCGGCATCTGGGATTTTTTCCTTTTTTAATTGTCTGTAATTTCTCTCTTGGTTAAGTCTGATGATCCCAAGGTTGCGCGACATCTTTTTCGACTGCTTGTTATGACTGTTCATCACATCGAATGACACTGAATCATCATTTTGTCTGAGGACTCCTAAGTTATTTACTCAACAACAGCCAACCCCCCTAAAACAAATCAGGAGAAAATTATTTTAGCTTTTGGACAATATTTACATTTTTTTTAACATGCAAGGTCTTGATAGGAGTTCATGTATAATGCGTTCTGAACTCTGCAATGATAAAAAGGTTTTGTGTTGTGAGGGTGGTGGTGGTGGTGGGGGGGTCATGTCCTTGACAGAGCAGGATATGGTTGTGGCTTATGTGCACAATAGATATGGAATATACCCAAATTCACCTTTAAAAGCCCGATACTGCATGTATTATTTTTACTTTTTCAAACAGGAATATACAGAATGTATGACTGGAAGTCCCATGAATCAACCCTATAAGTTTATCAGAGAATAATTGTCCCCTTTTCAGCTATCAAAGATGTGCTCTTAGCTACACACATGAGATGGGTGGAGATGAGAAGATTTAATATCTTTCCTGCACAGGAGTTCACACAGTCTCACTGGCATTGCTCTATTTCATTTACTCACACAGGAAATAATTGTTTGTTTGTTTTTCATTTTTGTCGTCTTAGTTTGCCTCAGCGTGGAGCTACGTTGTTTTTACTTTTCCCTGTACACATATGTGATATGTGATGTCAGCAGTGGCATAGGTGAAGAATGAGCCATGACAGTATGAGTGATCAGATGTCCTCCAAGGAACCTGGGAAAATTAAAATTTGTTGTGCATTTTCTGCATGCTCATTGAAACTCACAAAAATCTTCTGCACCTGCAGCCATTCGTCATCCACGATATGAAGTCTCTGATGGAGGGGGAGCAGTTTATTAATTGCAGTCAGGTACCTGTCCTGGACTACCAGCAGCAGACCTCCACCCTTAGCTCAGGACATGGAGGTAAGTGGTGTTAAATTACTGCACTAAATGATGCTTTTTGTTCTCTCACACCATTTCTCTATTGTTAAAAGATACTGAAAAGCTGTATTGTTTCATGTGTTGTTCAGTTGATCCCTGATATGTATAGAAATGGGAGGTGATTTTAACAAGCAGATTTTATGTGCATAAGAGAAATTATGCAGGAAACACATTTCTAATCAGTTGGACACGGATAACATTTAATATGAAATAATTTAAAATTTGTACTACTCTATTTTGTGGTTTGTTAGTGTGCTCTTTTTTAAATTCTGGATGCTATAACATGCTTATGCATCCTGTCTGTGTTTTGTCAGCCAATGCACATCTACATGTTACAATGGTTTACAAACTCAGATGTGAGCTGCTGTTGCTCGTGTGGGTGCAGCAAATGATCCTTGCCCTGCTATGGAAAAAAATCTGACTGTCTTGTAATTTCAGGGATCACAGGGGCACACCCAGGGTCAGATTATGGACTTTTGGGCATGATGAGCATCGACGGACAGGTATCACCAGACGCCCTGGAGCTGCGCTTCTTCCAGAGCTGTCAGTCACGCTCAGCAGAAGCAGTGAGGGAAGTGACGGAGTTCGCCAAGAGTATTCCAGGATTCATCAGCCTGGATCTCAACGATCAAGTAAGATGCATCAGCAGTTTGTTCCCCCTTTCTTTGGGTTTTGACATATTAATGGGTACACTGTCTCTGTCTCTGTCTGAAATATTTTAACTGTGACTGTGACACAGTTTATTTTGTATTTGTTGTTTCATCCAAAAAATATTGTGAAATATATGACAAGACTCTTTTGGGTAATTTTTCAGGTAACGTTGCTGAAGTATGGAGTGATTGAAGTCCTGATCATCATGATGTCGCCTCTGATGAACAAAGATGGCACCCTGATCTCCTATGGACAGATTTTTATGACACGGGAGTTCCTCAAGAGTCTCAGGAAACCTTTCTGTCAAATGATGGAACCAAAGTTTGAGTTCTCTGTCAAGTTTAACACGCTGGAGCTGGATGACAGTGACATGGCACTGTTCCTGGCAGTAATTATCCTCAGTGGGGGTGAGTGTTCATTTTCATTTGATCTCTCAACTGAAAGAGATCAAAATAATCTTAATGAATTTTTTTTGTTTAACCACTTGTTTTGTCTGAGATTTTTTTCTTTTCTAAATAAGCTGAGGCTTGTATAAAAAAAAACAAAAAAGAAATTGACTTGTAGACTTGTTTCTAGATTGTCTTAGAACACAATGGCACGGTAACAACCCCCACCTGTTAAAACCGTGACTGCCATCTCATTTAAGACTCTAGTTTCTCTTTGGAGCTCGACTAAGTGCTTCCTGTCCCCTTTACAGCTTCATATGTTTTACACACATTTGGAAAATTTCTTACCAGCTGAAAGTTCAGATTTATAGATTTATAATGAAATCAAGTTGAATACTTGCAGCACTAAAATGTTTAGGTTTATCAAACAAATATCACTTTGGGTTTAGTTCCTGCAAATTATGTTTTTGGCCAATTCTTACTATACAATCAATAAGAATAAACAGATATATAACGGAAATGCTGTCAACAATGTTAGTTATGAGCCCTCTATGTTATACATTCTATCTATGGACAGCCTTGACCCCTTATCAGTTTTGTGAGAGGCTCAGTAATGCATGGAAAGAAAGTAGAGCACAACTAAAGATCAACAAATTCAGATCATTTGGAAATAATAAACAGCTTCTGCGTTGTGTGTAGCGAGAATCATTAACAGCAAAAAGCATGTTGGAAACAGACATTTTTACTCACTGCAGCAGGGGAAAAAAAGACAAGCAAGGTTAGGTTTCATAGACAACCACATGATCGAATGAAAATCCCTCAAGTCTTGTTCCTGCACGTTTCTACACCATTTAGTAAAAGGAAAAGTACTGGTGGGAGGAGGCGTGACATTTTTTTCTTCTTTTTTTTTGTGCTGTCTTAACTCTATTTACTTCAACATAAACTCTAAACTTTTTCTGCCGGTATGTGAGCCAAATTACTTATTTTTTCCTCTTGCAGTACCTTTTATCTGAACAAATCCAGATGTTTTAGTCCACTATTAGTGATTAGCATCTTTCTGCCTGATAAAAACCTGACTTTGAACATTATGAGGATTTAAATCTAACATTTAAGTAAATAATTTACTCAAATGACTGCGATTATAGCTTGAACGAAGATAAATGTGCACTTGTAAAATGTAATATTACTGTTCACCCAGTTACTCAGATAATATTAGGGTAGGGTCTTGCAGCAGAAATTTGGATTCTATGCTGTGCTACTTTTATTCTCTTTCCCACTGTTACAATTTGAATAACCTTCCAGTATTTTATTTTGGTTGCTCTCAATTTGCACCTCTCAGCTGACCCCAGATATGACAGAGTGAGATAAGGCACTGATTTTCCCTGCTCTCTCTGTATCCCGCCCAGACCGGCCCGGTCTGCTGAACGTGAAGCCCATCGAGCAGCTGCAGGAGACGGTTCTGCACTCGCTGGAGCTCCAACTGAAGTTGAACCACCCCGACTCCCTACAGCTGTTTGCCAAGCTCCTTCAGAAGATGACGGACCTTCGTCAGATTGTCACCGATCACGTCCACCTCATCCAGCTGCTTAAGAAGACAGAGGTGGACATGTGCTTACACCCCCTGCTCCAGGAGATCATGAAGGACTTGTATTAAAATTCAACATGAGCAGAGGACAATTATGGAGAAAAAAATAAGAATGGCAAAAAGACAGTAAAGTCGTTAATTGTTATGAAGCACTTCCCTTACAGTAAGTGCTTGGCTTGTATGTCGAAAGAAGACTGACTGAAACTTAAAAGGAGATGAGATGAACAGGAAAAGAGAAAATCATGGAAAGAAATGTCTAGTGTCAGAGTGTAAAGTCTTGTCTAGACAGCATGTATGCTAATAACCTGTGGAGCACAGTCATTTATCCATTGCCGAGCCTGGCCATGTTGTTATGAGCTGTCTGCCAAGTCAAATACGAAACTACCACCGTTGAAGTACATTGTGAATAACTAAGTGAAAGACAGAAGGACGTCTTTATTGTCAAACCACGAATGCTTCAAAACAGAAAGCCTTGCGTGCCTTAAAGGGAAATGTATTTTACCTGATCTCGTGCAGTATGATATGAGTTGTTCACGTGCAGCTTGTCAACATGTTGAGTTACAACCATCATATGTAGCAGTCTGTCCATGTATCAATACCTCTGTAAATGCGCACAATTGCATCACTGCTCACACAAGCTTAAGCTTTGTACAAACAGTCGTTTTTCTGTTTTGGCATCAAGGTGAAGGTGCTATCTCATTTTAATCAGCTGCATCCAAAAACAGAAATCAGATTAGTGCCTGTTGCATATTTTGGTCCCACACACCTTTAAGAAACTGTGAGAAAGAGTGGAGCAAACCCAGGCGCTTTACGACATGAAAATGTTAGCTCTTTTATAGCCAACTTGACCATGTCAGCCATATTGTGCCTGTAAGATCTGATATTTAGCTTTTTATAGAATTAATGTCGTTTTCAAACCTTTTTCTATATTATGCAGACAAAATGTATAGTATACAGCCATTTGTTTGGTTTCTGTTTGCATGACATTGTCAGATAGAATTTGCTTTTGAGCCTTAGTTTTATTTCAAAAAAATTCTTAAAATCTGTTCAGTTATAATTATTACTGTGAAATTTCTTTGTATCTCTGGGAGCTGTGCAGACATAGAGACTGGATTGATACCACTGAGGGGAAAGGAAAACTCAATTAGCTGTAAATAAAATATTTTCTAACTTTTTACTTGATGTCTGTTTCTTGTGTGTTTGCAAATGTAGCATTGAAACCAGTTCAAAATAACTTCTTCCTTGAAGGCATTCGAGTCCCTAAGACTCTTGGAAATCTTGGAACAGTCATGACATCAGCTGTACTCTGAGTCTCATACCAAACCCTCACGCACACCCTGCTGCAGTGATTGCAACATCTGAACTCTGCTGAACTATACCGGAAGACCAAAGTCTGTGGATACAAGTTTGAGGAGCAGACAGGGAAATGTTCTTACTTTTCAGAAGTAAATGTGTATTTTGGATGTGCAGATCCTCCTCAGAGAGGCTTTTTTTTAAAAAAGGAATTTAGTTTTAGGTCTATGTTTCGGAATTGCGAACAAAACAAGACCAGCGTCGCATTTAAACACAGGACATTAAACTTTAACCCCACAGATACATCAGGTCACCTCCACATTTACACAAGGTTTTCCCACCATCGTCTGGTCATGTTGTTTTCCTAACTCACAGCACAATGGGGTCAGGCTTGTGAGTTGGAGTGTGAAATATATTTTAAACAGGCTTGATTCAGCAAAAAATTATTGTGTGTGTTTTAGAATATAAGAGTCTGGCAAGTCACCATGAGCAACAAGCAGAAATGTTTTGACCCAATATTGGGTGAGCCAATCTTTTTCACGTGTTCATTAAATGTAGTAGTCCTCATTTCATAACAGCTCAAGGAACAGTGGTGTAAGACCTACATCCCAGCTCTTACACCACACAATCTCACCCTTTAGTTCTTTTTCAAGCTTGGAGAGTGTCAGTTTGAAACTGGTAAAACTTGATTTGCACTCCCCTCTTCCTCTTTGTCACTGCCTTCCATCTCATGCCCCTAATTTTCAACAGGAAAAGATTATTTTTTAAGATATTTCACCCACACACCACCATGTTTTAAAAAATGAGATACTGTGTTTCCGATACAAAAGCAAACAACAACATTTTAAGCGGTTGCAGACATACTTTGGTTTAAATTTTTTAATGGATTTGAATCCACCACACACAAATCTTTTTTCTACAAAGGCATTTCTAGTCCTGTCTTTGGTCACAACCAGCTGCTCCATTGTCACAGTTATTGCTGCTGCTGTGACACTAGAAGTGGAGCTTTCTACGATCAAACAACTGCAGACTGAACTTGATCATGACACCAAGAGAGATGAGAAAGTGAGTCAGAAATGTCCACTTATGCTGTTGGCCGGAGAACCAAAGAGCTGAAGTGAAAGTTCAAAGGAAAAGTGTGACCATGAAAAATGCCACCACATCTTCTGCAATGCAAGTAGTCATTTTAGCCTTTGGTCATAACTCCAATTCTGCAATATAACAACTTTAAACCGAAAGTCACAACAGCTATCCTAGATAAAACAGATAAAATAGTTATTGATCAAAGGTTTTCTTATTGATGAGGGATTGATTTTTAATTTCATTGAGCAACAACTCAGTGTTTTGTAGAAAAAAAAACATATCTAAAAGTCGGTGAATATTGGTGAAGCATTTTATGCCATTGTGAGATATGCTCAACAATACTTTCTCTTCAGCTTTGGGAGACTTTTGTTTGTGTTCACAATTCAACACATGAATCAAATTCTCTTTCAATTATTTGAAAAACAAGTCAATAAGAAATAAATTAGTTTCTGCATTTAGTGAGGAATATCTATAGTCACTCTGCAACAGAACTTAACATGTACTTTCACTGGTCTTCTGTTCCCATTTAAGTTAAGTCCAACAGTAGAAAGAGCTATTTGTGTTTATTCTAATGAGGGGCTGTCACAATTGGCTGACCAGGGTGACACCAGTAACCATTTGCTGGCTACGTTAAGTCTTCTAAGGTTAGCCTTAAACAGTTAAGAAGCTCTGATCTAGTATGTCAGACTTAACTTTGTTACTAATTGTCCTGACATGTATGGATCCATTTAGGGTATATTATAATTATATTCAATTAAAAATGAGTGACTTGGTGGAACAAGGTGGATTACTGACTTCACCATCCATATTTGAGTCGATAAATGATGGGAACAAATCACTCTGTGCAGGATGAGACTGAATAAGCGTTAAGCGGGGAAAACCCAGCGCAAAATTCTGAGAGACTTTCCTGCAGGATGTGAGACGGCAGGAGAAATCTGGCCCCTAAAAATAATCTGGAGATGATTCTGGGGGGTTTCTGGCTCCCGGCCGGTCGTCTTGGATGGTTGGTGGCTGTGGTAATTAAATGTGTTCTTTAATGTCGAGTCAGCATATCCTTACTTTGTTGGAACCTTTGGAACCGGTCTCTGTTGACTAAATGTTGCCAACATTTCTGAGCTAATCAGCCAAATAATTTTCAAAAAGTATATTTCTGCCGTTGTCTGTCCACACAGAACCAATGTCCAAAGATAGCATTTGTGATTTATACAAGCATACTTTGTTTTTGTTCAAGCTCTTTAAGAAACAGCAGCTACGTTTCCCCCCTCCCTTTGTTTTAGTATCAGTGAGGAATCTTACTCCCACCAGTGTGCGATGCCTGAAATGTGTTTGTCCTTGTTCAAGCCTCATTTCTGAGGGGATACACCTGCCAAAGTGCGGATGAATGTATGTCTCAGGACACAGTTTAGAAGCAACTAATGTTTGTACAGAAAATACTTCAAGAATTTATATTAAGGCACAAACAGGGGCTAATATAGGGCAGAAATATCCATCTGTCTTATTTAGATATTTGACTCCTCACAGCTAAAAAGAGTTTTATCAATTTCATTGAACAAATCTATTATATCTATTTTCATAAAGGTTGAGACCCTTTAACTCAGTGTTTAGAAGTTCAGCACCTTTCCATTGGCACTTGTGAGCAGGAAGTTTCAAGTTCAGGCAGACTGGATTGGGAATGTCAGCGCGCAGTCATTCGCAGATCATTCCAGTTAGTATTTTATTGTTTCATGTCCAGAAACTAAACACATCACTCAAGCATTTTCACAGTTTGTGTAATTGGTGGTTCATTTTGATCTGCTTTGCTTTTTCGTGTTGAAACTGTGAAATTGCTCCATATCCTGCGGCAAAAATGTACTCTCCTCAGTCTGCTTACTGACCGCTGTCACAGAAAAATACCCCCACAGAATGATGCAGCCATTTCTGTGTTTTATTGTAAGGATGCTGTTGGTGAGGGGATGCTCAGTGTTTCATTTCTTCAACACACATATACACATACACATTATTACATGCATAGTCCAGAGCTACCCAATTATACAGCTATCCTTGAACCTTTTGCGCCGGAGTGGGATCAATCATTGACTGGAATGGGTTGGATCCTATAACCCTGAGAAAAATATCGAGATTTCTACCTCAAACTTTCTCTGAGGGAAATCTTTGTATTACATTCATGAATGCATATATGTAAGTACAGCCCAAAATCATAGCATATATTATAAATCCAGGATGTTTTGTGAGCTGAAAGAGTTTTAGGAATGCTTGAACATTAAATTGTAATCATAATAAGCTGATTTCAATCAACAATATCTGATACGTTTAGCTTTCTGACAGAAGACGGAAAGAAATGTGACTGAGCGCAGCTTGTAAATTAATCAGAGTTTAACTTCGATTGAGTTTTTACTCCTTTATTATCGGCAAGAACAGGGCGCCAAGACCAATTTGAGCAAAGTTAAGTGTTTATAGCTTAAGTAGACTACAGGATCTCAAAGGACATAGTTCATGGTAAGCACTGGGTTGTGTGTTTCTCATTGGGTCTTTATCCTTTAAGATTAGCAGAGCTGCAAGATTTATCAAATCTGTTGGTGGTTCAAAGCTTCTATGATTTGGATAAGATTAAAGCTATTTGGACATTTTTGGAGCAATTATTTATTCTGTGCCTTTACACAATCCTGCCTTGCTGTCTGTTGGAAAAATTTCTCAACCTCGTGGCTTTGGTTTTCATTGTGACATAAACCTCCCACATTTCTTTCTTAAATAGCGTGCATGAAAGTGACATACTATTGCATCATAACAAGGTGTGCACACTATGCTTAAGTTTTCCAAGATCACCTTTGTCATGGAAATTTTTTCCGAGTGATTCAGTCATTCACGTGTTCTTCAGCTCAGTTACTTAGCCAACGCTAAGTCTTTTATTCATTTTAGGAAAAGGACTCATGTTGATCTCACTAAATATTTTACATTTGTCAAGAAAGGGTGACAAATCATGTGGTACCTTTGCTTAAGGACAAAGTAAAAAAACATATTTTTTCAAAGATGTGTTTTTTCCTTTGTGTGTGAATTCACATAATAAGATGTGACGTGTTGATCTGGTAAATTAGAGGCATAAGTGGATTTCATTGCATTCAGACAAAAGCTTCGGCATAACAGTGGTATCAAATGCTGTAGAGTGAATAAATCTTTTTATAAAACCAGTCTGTGCACTTAGAGAAATCGTTTCAAATGGTGTTTTTGCTATGTTAGTGTGCTCCAGATGCAATTTTACTTTTAGCCCAGCCCTTACTGGTGACTGCTTGCGAGAGCTACGTTTGTTGTTTCAGAGATATTGTTTGCTGCCCCCCATTATTTATTAGTTAATCATTCCACTGAAAATGACAGAACTTCCTTTTCATTTCTTTGTAGGTATAATTGTCATTATGACTTAGCTAAACAAAATGTAATGTAAATTTGAGTTATATAAACTAACTTTAAACCAAAAAGATCTTGGAATAATTTGTTTTTCTAAAAGAAAAATCTATCCGACTCATTATAATTTTCTTAAAGGCAATCAAGAGGATGAGGAATGACTCACTGAAAACTCTAACCTAGCGAGGTGAATTGTTTCCAAATGATTTTCTCATTCACATGGTCATGTCATTAAAATAACACATTACTGTGAGTCAGTACTGATTTTTTCTAATCTAGAGTAGGGACTTTCCATCAATCTCTCAAATCTAGAAATGCTTTAGATAGGTCCAGACACAGAAGCTAGTAAGATCGAGTTAGAAAAAGATTAACTTGGATCAAAATCATGGTAGTTTTTCAAGCTTTCAGTGGAACATTAGGATGCTGTAGCTGGAGAAACATCACATGTATTTGCCTAAGCAAAGGCTAAAAAACCTTTTGGTCAAAAACTACACAAAAAAGTCTGTTTTAGAAATATACAAGATGCAGATGATTCGAGGTCCTCTCATAAACAAATGTGAAATCTACAATAGAAATATGCAAAGGGACAACAAAAAAGACTGGAAAATAAAATGGCACTGTAAATCAGCTGGAGGTACATTATACAACTAATCCGTATATTTGGCAACAGATGAATAGTATAGAACAGAGAGCACAGAGGGGCAGAGTTTCTTGGCAGAAACCATGGGCGCAGAGGTTGGGGTTGATAATGTCACCCACTGCAAAACTGTTTGGTTTTCAACATTCCAACATCTGCGATACACAAAATAAAAATATTCAGATAACCTGAAAAAAACTCTCTGGGCAAAAAGCAAGGAAGGGCCAGCTTCTGAACCTCAGGCAGGCCAGTGAAATATACAACAGAAAGGAAAAGGCTGCATTTTGTCATGGCAATGACTGAATGCACTCAGTGACAATTCCCAAATTTCAATGTTTCATTCACAAGTACAAGTTAATGCTTTTTCTTGCAAAGAAGGCAAATCTGAATTGATATTTGAGGAGAAAAGATGCTAAGTCACATACATGAAACTCTACAGCAGCATGACCTCACAGTAAAATCTGAGTTCAGACCTTTGAAAGGCTGAAGACATTTGGGCCACCATGAAACACAAATTTTGACTCTGAACTGTTGTACCACAAGACTCCCATGCCAGACAAGAATTGGACTGTGTTCCTGTACTAAAGGTTCAGCTTTTCAAAGAATAAGGGATGATATGCAGTGGTTGGTATTTGTATGAAACAGTGACATGTCTCTATTTACATTTTACATCAATTAAAAAGATGTTTCTTTAGACAGATGAACTTCACTGTCAATAAAGATTCAGGTTGGACTGAAACAAACAGACCCGGACTTGTGTAACATGATGCAAGATCCCCCTCTGCTGACTGGTCATTGCTCTCCTAACGACGTGGGAATTTTACTGAGCTACACCAAACCAAACCATGTGAGCTGTGGTGTTGTGGCCTCACATCCTCCCCGCAGCTGTTGATTCTGAGGGGAAAGATATTCACTGGTATCAGCACAGCAGATCGGCCTGTAACTGTGATGATGACTCAGGAATGAGTTGTTGTTTTTTTTCAGAGAAGCAGTTCATGTCGAGGATAGATTAAAATCACCTCGAAGGAGCAAATATCCACACTTCTATCTAATTATTATGGATTGTGTGTAAACATACAGTGATTTGGAGAGGCTGTAGCACCTCAGCAGCTGTTGTATTTTTTCAGCTGGTTGAGCTGAGAGGGAGATGAACAACAGAGGCCAATAACAATAATGTAGCTGTCAGTACTGTGAGGGAGGTAAGGTCAGTGAGGTGATACAGTAAACAGGCCAACCCTATCCCCTTCCATGGCCTCCTGGCTTAATTTAATGAGGGGTAAGAAAAGTTAAAGTTTATAATATTTCTCAGAAAGTTCTCCTGTGAGTCTGATGAATGACTGGAGGGAAATGTTGATTTGGGTTTGGATTTAGTGAGAGATTGGATGAGTATAGATTCAAATTTGAATGAAAAGTGACAACAAATCATTCGTATTCATTCCCCCTTTTTTTTCCAATAAATAGATGCACAAAGCCAAAAGAATAATTTTACCATAGTGCAAAAACAGCTGGTTGCCACATCTCAGAAACCTTGCTCTGTTGCTGTTTGCTTCAAAGTTATCTACTTCTTTGTCTTGCGACCACTGTTTCCATATCTCCACTCAAAATCTCCTCAAACCCCACTCCAGCCCAGTTTAGCCTCCCTTACCCCTAGGGACCTCACTTCCCTCCTGGATTGCATCCTACCAGTTCTGCTTTGTTCTCCGCTTGCTCTGCAATGATCCCTCCTGTCATGTTTGTTAAACTGCAAAATCATAAAGCCTTAGGTTAACTAACATGTTTGGTATATTCTTATTTCTATCAGCCTTTGTCCTTTTGCTCTGAAGACATTCTTAGGTGTAAGGTCAACACCCTTCATTCATGTTAATACACTTAAGATAGGTTGTTCTCCGCAAATGTGGAGTTGTTTATACTTTACACAAGAAAACATTTCATTTCTATAAACGAGCAACATGAAATCTTTAATTTTCCACTTCAGCTCCAAGACCCAAAAGGGGAAAGTGCAAAAAGTCACATGTTTCCTGCATAATGAAGAAATATAGAGGAATGAAAACTTTGTGGTCGCAAAGTTGTGGTCATATGTGAAGCTACGCTGCAGAAAAAACTTGTTCATGTCATCAAACTTTTTGCACTTTTAGCCTTTCCAGAAACCAACCATTATTCATTCCCTACAACACCAAATGCAAGCCCTACTTGATTACATCAGAGCTTCTGAAAAGGGAATTTGTCTGTATTTGGCACATCGGGTTCAGATTTAAGCAACTGCTATATGTTTATAATGAGATGGGGAAATCAGTGCAGCAGTAATCCAACTCATTTGTCAACAAATGCCTCAGAGGGACAATGGAGTGATCAGAGGAGGTATCTCCCACTCTTCTGACAAGAGTTTGTTTTTTTATTCCAGATGTGTAATTTGTCTCTGATGAAATATATTCACTGCTCATTTGAGTTGTTTGTCTCTGGTAAATGAGCATGAATTCACAAGCACCAGACTGTGTGGTCCTGACCTTGTTTTAGCTATTGTAACAAGAGCTAGGAATTAATTTCCCATCTTTAGTTTTTACTGTTTTTACAGGTCATAATTTGTTTTCAGATGTTTTGTGAGCCACACTGAAGACCACGTGTAGCAGTAAATCATAACGTGATGATCATTCTTTATTATGATGCTCGTTCGTAACTCTGTTCATCTCCTCTGGTAATTTGATACTTTTTCGTCTGAAAATCTGAAGTATAATTTTGTTTTGTATTTCCTCTACATCTGTTTGGGTTAATTACAGTTTGAATGGAGTTATCAGCAACGTTTTCTGATCCACATATGTGTATATTTTTGTACACATACATACAAACAATTACATTTTCAATCATAGTACTAATGAATGGCAGAGATTTAAATAACTCTGACAAGTCAAAAATTCTTGAAAGTATTTTGGTTTATGCACCTTACAAATAGTAAACAAGGCTTGCAGAGATGTATGAAAAGGAAAAACTGCTTATATTCAGCAACCTGATATGAGTGTCTAAAAATACAAGCTGACACAGAAAGGGATGAGACATTACCAAGACTGAATAAGATTAAAGCTCTCATGTTGACAAAAACATACCCCAAAGGCAGAGAGTGACTCTTTTAGACAAGCAGATGGATTCACAAATGGATTCACTCTATCTTAAGTCACAGAGGGTTACTAGTATACGCTGCAAACACTAAGGAAGAGCTAGTTGGGGCCTTTTGGGTTGTAGATGGCCAGAAATATTGACTCATGCATCTGGTGTCAGTTCATGAAATAGCTTATTGTTAAGGCAAAAGGGTACAGTCTTTATGCATAAAAACGCAGCATCAGATATGTCTGACTATTTCATTGCATGGATGCCCAGTGGCCTTTTAGAGACCTTTCCTTTCTTCTACTGAAATGCTATATAGAATTCATGGGTCCCCAAAAAAGCCTGATCTACTATTATAGAAAACGTCAGATCTGTTTGAGCAGCACCTTGCTGCATTACATTGATCACTAAATAGTTTTGAACGGCCAGATTGATACTCAGAATCTTGTATCACCAGATAAATAAAAAGATAGATGAAACAGACAAACTAACAGATTATTTAAAAAAAGGATTGTATGTGAGTGGGGCTTTTTCAGCTTAACTGAGTTATTTCTTCTCTTTTTTTCTGATCTACTTTCTATTGTTATTTATCATTTAGTCAAGACACAGTGTAATATGCTGCCCAATAAATAGATTTTAAAGCTTTTTTATGTTAATTCCAGTTTATTTTCGTACCGTTACATGTGTTATTTCTCTTGAATGGCACGGATGCACAACTTGGGGGCGGTATCGCATCTCATGCTGGAAAAAAATCACCAAGGAAGAGATTCCCCCGGAAGTTAGCTTCTTTTTTGGTTTTAACAGGGCGGGAAAGGCTGGCAGGCAAGTCTACGGTCTATAGAGTAAGTTTCCTGTCCAGTTTAGCCCATAATTTGTATTTAAACATAATGTCAGCTAAACTTAACAAGCTGGTAGTTTTCTCCACAGCTCATTAATCAGAAAACACTAGAGTAAGAAGGTGTTAGCCGGAGTTTAGAGACGTTACTGTTGCTAACGAATTCCTGAGTACTTATCGCTGCAAAAACTAGCAAACGGGTCTCTTTAGCAACTTTAGCATTTTAAACAGTTGCATTTGAAACTAGTTGGCATTGTTCCGCCTGACACACGAAGCATGGCTAATGTCAGGTAGTCTTCTCAGCCATTTTTCATTTTTTTTAACCAACACAACACGTTCAGTACAAATGACACGCGAAGCCAACGTCTTTGCGGAAAACCCCTAAATTCCACGTGCAAGTCGAACCAAACTGTCTCACATCCGGGTAATGATCAACAAGCTCAGTGATTTGAAAAAAAGTCAACTCATTTAATTTTTAGGAATACCCCCAAACTGATACAAATAAGCAGTGTTCTGCATTTTGTTACAACCATAGAAACTAATAACTAAATATCAATTTGAAACTAATTATTTTGTACAGATGTATGCAGACATCCGTCATCAGTCTGCAGTAACCAGACTAAGCATCTCCCACCTTTAAGTACCTTTTTGCATAATATTCTCTTTCCTCTGCAAATCTGTTCTGCAAAATATGAAAAAATACAAATGAATAAGCCAGCTATAGACCTGCCATTACACTGTGAATGTTTGTTACTGGTTGCCACTATTTCTAAGTGGTTTGAAATTTAAATATATCCCAATAATTAAATTTCATCTGCCAGGTGTATTGAACATGCCATCCAAAGAGCAAGATGTTGCTCCATCTATTTCACCAGTCCTCTTCATGACTGTGGAAGGTTTGCCCATGTCTTTCTATCTGCGACCGGGTCCTGTCAAACAGAAGCTCCAGCCACTCATCACAGCTGGAGGGGGGCTGGTGTGCAACATCCAGCAGCCGGGAGCAATACTGCTGATCAATCCTGAAGACGCAATCTCTGTTTCAGGATCTACTGCTCAAAGGTATGAGCTGGACCAGTAGGAGTTTAAAAAATTACTTTTTTGGGGGGTTACCCTTGTGTGTGCTCTGCTAAAACAGAGTTTGTTTTCAGGTATGTGTCCACCCAGTATATTTATGACTGTATAGAGAAGGAGGAACAGCTGAATATAGAGGACTACAAAGTAAATTGCGATGTGGTCCAGAGACAATCACCTAGACTCAACAGCAACAAAGACGGCTCTTCTACATTCTTGGGAGGTATAATATGAATAACATCAGTTCTGAACTTTGAGTCATCAGATGCCAACCTCTGGGGCAAGCTTGCCCAGTGTTGCTTGTTTTTAGGGCCACTCACCTTACCTCTGCTTTCTGTGTGTTACTATTTCCAGTCAGCTTATTTTGTTTCCCCACTTTGCACACCCTTGACTCTCTTCATCATGACTTGCCCTTTCTGCCCTTCACACAAGAAGAGACGAGGACAAACATTAGGAGCTGAGTTAGCATGTACATCTAAAAAGAAAATCTGAGTAGTATTAATATATGGATCTCAGTCAAACACAGTATGAGACAGCTGTACGATCTAACCAACTGATTCTTTCCTCTCATCCATATTTCTTAAAACTGAGCATCCCCATCTTTTTCGGCTCTGACAAAACGCTGTGGTGATAAGTCAAGTCACATGTACTTAAATCACAACATATCACCTACATTTTTTTATTCTTGAGTCTCTTCTCAGATTCTTACATTGTACAAATCTGATCTAAGCTTGAATTTTATTTTATTTATTCATGTCTTTATACTAAACCTTCCTTTTAACATAATCAGGCAGGCTTGCCTACACCCCTGAAGAAGATTCCGCCATTTTGAATTATGTTAGCAAACGAACGAGTGAGACAGGGGGCAACCGAATTTGGAAAGAGATGGAGAAGCAGCGTGTGACCGCTCACAGCTGGCAGTCAATGAAAGATCGATACCAAGTACGCCTGACTAAGAAAGAACCAAAGGCTGTGGAGGTGGAAACCAAAAAGGGAAACAGTAAAACTGCACCAGAGAATTCAGAGGTAACTACTAAACTGGAAGGTATAAAAAGGCATTGTGTCAGACAGAATTAGCTGCCTTTTTACCAGGGGGGAAAACATTGTTGTTATAGGTTCATTAATTGTTATGTAACCTAATTTGGACAAAGCTTATGTTCTTTGTGGAGACCGTCAAGATTTTAATTGGAATAAAGAAACAATGAAATATTAGATTATTGTCTGATACTTAAATGTAATAAAGCCTTTTTATTTTCTGTAGTAGTTGTGTTTGTGTTTGACTTTATTTATCATTGTAAAATCACCAGTTATGGCATCACTCATAAAAAAAAATCCCATAGGTGAATATGGCAAACCAAAAAGCCTGACTGACCCCACAAATGCTGTAAAGGAGAGTTCCACCAGAAGGTGGCGCCAGTTTAAAAATATGTTACCAGATGCTGAATATATATTTATTTGTATTTTTTTTAAAGCACCAACACATTCATGAATACAAATAAATTGTACAACTGTATCGTATACATTTTGGCCCGAATGGCTTAAGATTACACACATAGGTCACTAACAGGTTCTTGTATGTCTGCTTCTAGGCGGAAGCAAATCAGCAGATCGATGCTCAGAAACCCTCAAGTGAAGAGGTTGACACTCCTCACGCAGATTCAGCAGAGTCTGACCTGACACAGGTACTGCGTTGTCCCCTGTGTTTGGTGTGTAGCTCATACAGCTGCGTGTGTGTGATGTTATAAATGAGTTCACAGAGGTGGTCTGATGCCCACACAGCTGGATGTCCAACTCATACCAGCTGGAGGCACGCCTGAAAATGTAGACCTTCAGACTTCCATCCCTTTGAATGAAGACGTGAACCAGCAGCCAGATGAAAGCTCACAGCAGGAAGCTGAAATGTCCTGCTCCCCACAGGCTGAACAGCCCTTCCCAGATACCTCACCAGGAGACTCCCCTTTACCTCAGCTTGAGTCCACCCCAACGAGCACGTCCTCTAAAAAACAAAAGAAGAAGCAGAAGGCGTCTGGTGCTATGAAACAACCGGCCCGGCGGATGACGCGCAGGCAGCTTGAGATGCAGCAGTCCCCTGAGCCCTATGGAAAGAAGCTCAGGTCGTCCTCAAGCAGCCATACGCCATCTCCACAGTCCTCGAAGAGACAAAAATCAGTCGGGAAATCAGCTCTTCAAAAAGACACGGCAACAGACTCGCCGCCTCCCAAGAGGGCAAGGGGAAAGTTCACAGCAGCAGAGGAGAGTCAGCCGGAGCAGCGTGGACAGGACGCTGACTCCACAACAGGTAACGCATCGGTTGTGTGGCGAAATAGCACAAGCAACAGGTGTAGGTTCTTGTGTTTGACACACATCACAGTGCAGAGATTCATTTAAGCTCTGTTTTGGTTTTGAAGATGAACCCAATCCAGCGCAGCAGAAGGTGGTGAAAGCTAAAGAGAAGAGACCGCTGGGGATTCTTGAACTGGCTACAAGGGAGTTTGAGGTAGGAATTTTAGTACAATCACTATGATAAGTCTTTCAGAGTTTTGTATCGTCTTTTGTGCAGTGCCTGTAGATGCCGGTGACATACTTCAAATTTTCAACTCTTCAGATGGCTCAGCCAACAAGCACTTTCATTTATATGCAAACATTTTTCTGTTTTATGTCGTAGTCCAATTCCGATGAAGATTCAGATCTGCAAGACAATCCTGAAACAGTGGTCCGGTCAGCCCCCACTCCCCCTCCATTAGACAGCGCTGCAGACCCCCCCTCTGAGGCTGGACCCGGCCCACAGGGGAATGTGCAGACGTCTCAGACCTCCAGTGATGGCTGTGTGCCAGACACCGGCTCTGCTGGTCCTTCAGCCGTTGAGCCTGTCCGAGCAGCCTCTAAGCCCCACCTGTTCATATTTGACAGCGAATCTCAGGAAGAAGCCTCTCAGCGCGTCGCTGCCGAAAGCTCAACAGCTCCATCCAACCAACAGCCCGATGTCAACGGAGGCACCGCACTCTCTCTGACTCAGTTACAGTTAGAGGAGGACAAGCAGCGAATCAGAGAGCTGATTAACCAAACGGGCCAGGTAAGTTGGTCTTTTCTTGTTGGATATTTTCGTTGTAAGATGGAAAAGGAGTAGAGAAGAAACCATCTCACACATACAGTAAGCCTTTACCATTCCCTCGGGCCTGTGTCATGTCATTTTACTGTTTTTCCCGTAGGACCTAGACAGTGTAACCAAAGCCTTGCTAAGGACCAGCGGAGACTTCTCTGCTGCCCTGGATCTGCTCTTGAATCCCTCCGCTGTTTCATTACCCTTTTGGAATCGCCATGACGACAGTCTGTTGCTCTCAGCTGATTCGGCTGCCCGTCAGCAACTGCAGGAGAAATATGGGGAGGAGAATGTGGCCAAGAGGCTTATGTTTCTTGATGCGAAATTATAAAAGTGTTACACAGTTTAGAACGGATGCAGTGAGTACACTCTTCCAAAACAGGAGTCAAAGTTAGCTGATCATTGTTCTAATAACAATTTCCACACGTTTTAATGTGGTGTTCCAACATTTCACCAGAATATCTTAAGAAGTTACTATACATGTTGGTGATTTAGAATTAAGTAACAGATAAAAAACTTTCTTTTTTTTCCTGTAAATTTAGAAACAGATTATGTTTTTTTGTTGTAAATTACAATTTCCACATCTTGTTCCAACATTTCAACAGAAATTGCTGACAATATATTAAGAATTTACCATACATGTTGGTGATTCAGAATTTTGAAATAGATCAAGGTTGTTGTGGTTTTTTTGTCAATTTAGAAACAGATTATGTTTTTTTGTTGTAAATTACAATTTCCACATCTTGTTCCAACATTTCAACAGAAATTGCTGACAATATATTAAGAAGTTACCATACATGTTGGTGATTCAGAATTTTGAAACATTTTTTTTGTTAATTTAGAAAGAAATTATGTTTTGGGGTTGTTGTTTTTTTGTACATTTAGAAACTGTTTTTTTTTTTACAGCAGCACTTCTGGGTTGAAAGTATGTTTTTGTTTGGTTACCGAATAATTTGTTCATTTTAGCATTCGAATACTTGATTGCATGGGTTTTAAAAAAAGGTCTTAAAGTGTTCTTAATATTTCATAATAAATGTTTATGCTATTTAGTTTGTTGTTTTTTGCTACACACATATATATATTCATACACACACTTATACCAAACCGCTTTAAAATGATGAACAAGGGAGAAAAAAGAGTTTTTGAAGAAGTCCAGATAGAATTTTTTTAATCAATCCACCACTTTATTTCATTTTACCCCAATATCAACTGAGTACATTCAGATCTTTAAAACTATGTCTGCCCGACACCCACATGAGTACATTGTATGAACATGATTAACCAAAAACTTACAAATCTAACAAAGTAAAAGACTTAAATGCATATAAATAAATCAGCCGGTAAGATGAACCTGATGCTACCTGTAGGGACAAATCAGTCAGAGACCAATATCTAACACAGATGGGTAGCTGTCCCCCAAATATTGCTGAGACTTTCATATCCCATCATATGTTTTTGAAAGTAAAGGTGACACTGATGTCAACACTTGACATGTATGCAGGTGAACATGTAAAACTGTAAATGACACAGCAGGTACCACAACCGTGTAATCCCAACACTTCACACATAAAAACCGCTCATATAAAACCTGACTGTGAAACATTCACATCCACCAGGACCTAGTTCACATACATGCCAATCACACGCTCTAAGGTGGTCAGGATGAGAAAGTCTTCAGGAAAGCAAAACATACCAAGGTTTCAAATAGTTAACAGAACACCATGTATCCCTGGGTTTTAAACAGTGGCAAGTTCAGAGGAAGCCTCCGATCAAGCTGCACTGAACAGAGCTACGACATTTTCAACCGATATAAGCCGAAGCCGCTTCAAGTGATAGGAGAGTGGAGATAATACATTTGACTTTTCAAGCTAGTCTGTATGGAAAACGATAACATTTTTCCAAATCATATAGAAGTCTGCAAACTTAACACCTGTGTGGTAGGCATGTACACTGAGGCCAAGAAAGAAAAACTCAAAAGTTAATAGGATTCATAGCTTGATTTACATCTTTGTCCCCTTACTGCACATGGATGCTTTGGTCGGCTGGTAAGTGTGATGGTCAGAGCTGCACCCCGCTGCTCATGGATGCTACAGCCATACAGTCATTAACTTGTGTGTAATGTGAAGTACAGTACCAATAAAAGAATGGCTCTTTGTTTCTTATCAAGCTGGTTTTATGTCAACACAGATAAAAAAATATCTCCTGTCCACTTCGAGCGAGGCAGCTCCTCACTCTGGTTTGATGTCAGCAGTTCATTTTCTCATGGCGGGTGATCTGTTAGAGTCCATAAATTGCTACACCTTTTGGAACAAATCAAATGCTCCCACAGGATTGATAAAAGCTGAGCGTGGCGACACAGTTTTTGGCTTACAGACTGACTAGAAACTGTGAAAAATATGCTTTCAGTTATGTAATGATTAGAATAGACACTGTTTTGATTAAAAAGCATATCACACAGTCTGTATTGCAGCTTTTTAGTTCAAAATATAACCTTGTATATATATACATATATATTTAAAAAAAACAACTCATAGCTTCTTTCCTCCACACTAGCATGCTTAAACATTAGGCCAGTATTCTGCCTCAGAAAAACTTCAAGATTGAAGTAGCACTTGTTCTTTGATCCAGCAAACCGTACTTACATTATAATACAAAGACGTCTTTAAAAAGATCACCACCATGCGTCGATCGGTTTCTGTGCCAAACAACACTGTGAGACGTCTCAGTTTGTCGCAAAACATACAAATACAAACTCAAAAGGCCTCTGGGGTATACACGATCACATGCCTACAGCCCTGTATGTACAGTCTGATGTTTTCTAGCCCCATTCAGAAGAAACAAAGCAGGAAGTGCAACCTGTTCGGAACAGAGTTCCCCTGCAGGACAGCAGGAAAAAGTCTACAATCAGAGGTACAGACGCTCATACTGAAACCAGTCATCAGAAAGAAAGTCATTACGTTAAAAAAATAAAAATGATCATAAGTAACGTTAAGGTGATGCAGAAGCTTTAAAAAATGTATCCCTTTGGTTTTTGCGTAAAAGGTTTATGGGAATTCCTTTGATTTGATTTATATCTTATCATTCAGTTAATTCATCTTTTGGGAAGTGATGCAAGATTATGTGCAAAATAAATTGTAAAAGAGTGATTTTCCAGAATGCCTGATGAGTAATGCAGTGTCTACCTCAGTGTCACTGCCTTAAAGTACTATTTGATTCAATTTATACATACTTTGTCATTATTAGGGGGTGTTGTTTCAGTGAACACGTGAAGACTAGTTATTAAACATATTAAGAAAACAAAACAAAAGGACACCTTTACTTGGAAGGCTAATGAAAAAGAATGAGAAGGGACAGCCAGTCCTAAGAAATATGGCCGTCTGAATTGCATAGAACTTCAGTAGTGCACTGATGCATTAAAAAGGCTGTGCTCCTTTCCTCTGTCAACTTTGGCAAGCCAGCAGAGTTCCCTCAGAAACCACCAGAACTCCAACGCTATTTGTTTCCACTTTTTGTCTTACTGGCAGAAGACACTTAAACCATATCGGTTTAGTTTGGACTGTAAAGACCCAACTTAGACAAGTCAGTATGCCAATTAAGGGAAGATGTTGTAATATCTTAAATAAAAATGATTCAATTTAAAAGATGGATATTTCATTAAGGTATTTAGAAGAGTACAATATGTACTGTTTTCAATTCCTTTAGAAAAAAAGGACCATAACAGGGTAGAAAATATTCATCAGCCAGTTAACAGAAATTTTCTTTCTCCTCCTCAGGACAATGACATGAAGACCTGGACAAAGATCCAGCAAGGCAGCAGTGAGGAGGAGAGCACAGCCTGGTTTCTGTATTCCCTCTTTTCTCTTTTTGAAGCAAAGAAACCCCCACCACCACTTTCTTAAACCCTTAAACAGAAATAGTATAAAAGCACCAGTTCTGGGCCTCTGCCAGAACTTCCCTCAGTCTAACAGGCCCAGATTTAGGTTCCTCCACCTTCATTCAGGTGGAGTTCTTTATGCATTTTAACCCCTATGGTTAAAAGGAGCAGACAGGACGGCCCCCGGCTGAACAGCTATCAACTGACGGGGACTTCAGCTTCTGCGTCCTTGTCGGAGATCTCATCCTGGATCTCGTCTGTGTTCCCTGAGTCGCTGCTAGCCACAGAGCTGAAAGACGGAGAGTTCCTGCCACCTTTAATCATCCGCCGACAGGTCTCCATCTGCACGTCCAGGCCTCTCTTCATGCTGCACATCTCCATGTACTCGTGCAGATGTCGATTCATGTCGCTCTTTGCCGTGGCCAGTTCCATCTGCGTGGGATAGAAATGGATTTAAATGACAGGAGATGTTACAGTAAAATAAAGCAGCTTTGATCTGCAGATGTTGTATTACAGATCAAAGTGCTGGAGAAAATAAAGCCTTATAATGCAACAATGCCATGAACATCAAGCCAAAACTGGACGTCACCGGACGTCACTTCTTAACGCCAACTAGACTTCAAAGGGCTCTTGTACACATATGTATTTGTTTCTTCTGTTAGATATCTGAATATGTCAGAAATTGTGAATCACACCATTAAGGCTACTTTTTATCTCAGTCAATTGACGAAATCACCAGACCGTCCCTCTGCTTGTCAAAATCCTGATTTAATAACATCCGAGCCCTCAGATATAATCACCATCCAAGCAACTCATTTTCAACTTTGAGTATTTTCCAACGCCTTCTACTGTGTTGCTGCATCACCCACACTTACATTAAAGCTTCGCTCCAGTGCACGGAATAAAGGAGAGCAATCCAATTAACTTGAGCAGCTGAGCTACAATCAACTTATCTAAACAGCCAAACACTCAAAACATTTGGGGCTTCTTGTGATACATGTAGATATATCCACAAAATCAATATCCCAGCCAGGCCTTCATATGAACGACGATGCTCATAAAATGCTCATAAGAAAGAAAATTGTCAGTGATTTCTTTGGTGTGCTTCTACTAATGCACTTCAGCTTGTTTGTCCTGACGGACGGTTCTTTTGCATCCAACCCCAAACTGCTCAAATGTGGCCAGTCACTACTACAGATATACAAAAGAAACATTGTTTTTCTTCCCTACAGATTCCTCATAATAAATTCATAATGAGATCATAAGGCAGAACTGCTCCAAAACTTTGGCTCTGGACAGAAGCATCGGATTGAGCTGTACATTTCTATAACAAAAAATAAATAAATAAAGAATTCCGAAAGCTAGAGTGTATGCTTAACACAGGGGTTTAGTGTCATAGGCTTTCAGCTTCCAGTGTTCTTCTTCTTTACTTTAACTCCAAACATCAGTTTACCTCGATCTGGCCGATGGTCTCCTGGTACTCTTGCTCTCTGGTCTTAAATAGGGACTCTGTCTCATCAATGAGACTGCCAAGACTTCCATCTTGGGAATCCTTAGAGAGCACAGACATCGGTCTCATTCATCATGCATGAGCAGATGTCTTACACAGCATTCATAGAAAAGATTTACACTATCGTACAAGTTTCAAAACCCCGTTCTATTGACTCGTGTTAAAGCACACGGCACTCACTGGATCGGGGGCTTCAGCGCTGCCTTCGCAAGAACCTGCAGTTGCGCAGGTCGCCGTGGTGACTGTGCTCGGCACGTTGTAGTTTGTGAAGTCTTCCCACAGCAACAGGGTCTCTTCGTTTTCCTCCCAAGTCAGGCTGTCGCAGTCGTCATCGATTTCAAATGTTTCCCGCCTGGTGACAAAGGAGTTATCTGAACAATGTCTGCGCGGGACAGAGGCGGAGAGCAGAAAGGGACAAGAGGGAAAAAAGGAAGGAGAGCAAAGATAGGTATAACGGCCATTCAGCAGAGGTCACATGCCAAAAGAAACACACACTTCTGAAAATTATACAACAGAAAAGGAGAGATAGAAAAGAGAGGCTGCTTTGTTTCTAACATTATTCCAGATGTTAGAAGTTAGTAAATTAACACAAGTTAATGCCCAATTGAATACGAGTGGTGACAGAGTTAGTAAGCTTGTTGCCTGTTGGATGGAAGATGTCATATACACAGCAGCGGCAGAAAACTCAGCTTCTCCCAGAGCACACAGGACCCCTCTATGGTTAATGCACAGAACTGATGCAGGAGGAGTCCCTTACAGCTGGTTGAGCATGCGCTTCATCTCATCCGTTATGTTCAGGGACCCAGGAGCCTCCTCCTCCGAAGTGCTCGGCTCGGCATCCATCTCCGAGTTCTCCTCGTCAGACACGGCTTTGCGCTCTTTTCTCCTGCAGCACGCCGCGGAGCCCTGCGAACGCACACGGGTGCATACGCCCACACTTTGCTTGAGTTTCAGGAAAGAATCTTGCGGCGAAACAGTTTTTTTTTTCAAATTCATTAGCATCTCTTTGAAGTCACAGTAAGAACAAACTGCAGAAAGCAACTCTTGGATGTAAAAGCAGAATGTGGTTCAGTGCACAATAGATGTGGGTCTGTGTGTGTATATATACACATCCTACTTATACGGCATGTTTCAGAAATAGATCCACACATCAATACATGTAAGTTCAAAGAACATCAAATGTGAATTTGAAAAATGACATGAGGTGGATTGATTCGAAGATGATTGGTGTACCTGGGCTCAGCGTGCTGTGTCGGCTCAATGTTGTAACCTTGTCAGCGGTAAAAGGTGCTAAATCAGCATTCAGCTTTTTTCTGTGTGTTTCTTTTTGTGCGCATAAATGGTAACATTTGGTGCCGTAAGAATTTTGCATGTCTACTATTGAGCACTACTGCTGTTTGTATGATCGTGAGTGTATTAGCAAACATGCACCCCCGCAGGCTCGGAGGGGTCACCAGGTATCAGTGGCCACACAGTAAGAATTCCTATTCCCGCTGCGTTACCGTCAGTTTTTTCTGACAACCAGCCAACACTTTCTGGAGCCAAAGTGGATTTACACTCACCTTCTCTGGGAGAGACCTGGCCGGGCTGACGTTGAACATTTTAGACATGTCCTCTGAGTTGCGTTGCTGAGCCACGTCGCACAGCTTGGCCGTGATGTCGATCCGCCTGCAGATGTCCATGTCCACTCGTCTGGCTTTCTCCTGGATCTTTGAGTCCAGGTCGGACATTTGCTGCAAATGGATGGAGAGTCATGATATGAAATGAGCAATGATGTCCTCTATGCCCATTAGATATGAAATGATCCTGCGTCCAATGTGTGATGTACCAGCATCAGATAGTGAGAAGTGCACTCTGACTTGGATTTAAAAGGTTGGTTTACTGAGTAACTTTACACTCTGACTGACTTTACAACTGAAACCAACTGTAAGAAAACTTTCACTTCACAATTTGTCCAGAATGTACTATGATTCTCGTTCAGTGTCAGCTGGGATAGGCTCCATCCCCACCCCCCACCTTGAATGGATTAAGCAGGTATGAAAATGAATAGATGGACACTATATTTTACCTCCTGAGCTAATAATTTTTTTATCCTATAATATAAAAAAACTGTGTTAAGATGGATTCTTAAATAGAACTCTGCTGCATTCCGGAAGTTGTTGAGTTTCTTTTTCACTGTGGTCGTTTAGCTAATTTGATGTTTTAAGCTGTAATTCACTGTTGCTGCTGCTCATTATGGGAAACGATTCTCAGGGAATGAAAGACCTACTTATCCGCAGTTCTAAAACGATACATGTGCATTCTTATTTTGGTCTGCATAAATTTGCAAAACACTAAAATCTGGTGAAGTTTCCGGGGGGGGCAGATACAGAGCATTCAATTATGTCCCTCACACACAGTCAGTGGAGGACCACACCTTTCCCTCCCTAATGATGGGAGGGTCACCACATCCAAACACACATCCACAGCCACGGTACACACACTGGCTAACCTCTACAAGGCCCTAAGCCAGCTACGCCTACGCCTATCCTCCCATTCTGCATCACTTACCAGTCTCTGTATTCACACATCAGGGATGAAGTGGAGTGCAGAAAATAGCATGAAGAATTAACAATGAACAGACATCCGAGTTAGGTTAAGCAGGAAAAAAAACAGAAGGGTTCAAAAACAGCCTGTGACTTTATTTATCTGGGAGCGAGCATCAGCTGCGCGGGCCCACTGCAGTATATTACAGCTATGTGTCACTCCAGAGCACACCTGCCACGGAACAATACTGGGGGGCTCAGCACAGGAAGTGCTCGTAATTTACAGCTGCTTTCTGAGCTATTTTCAATGAATGCGTGTCTCGGAGGCTTTTTGGCATTCCATATTTTCATGGACCCATATAAAGAAGTGAAGAAGGGTGTGTGTAACTATAGAGACCAAGACAAATGACAGCATGTATCCTTATAATGCTAAGAAAAACTGTTTTAAATACTGTGCAATATTTCTTATTTGTGTGGAAATTAAACTAGGGTTAAGATGCAAAAATAGGGTGCTTTGTCAGACTGACAAATGATGACATCGGCCTCGCGGTGAACAAATACTTACGTCACTCATTAGGCTCTTAAAGACCACGACTTCAGCCTTCAGTCTGTCCACCTTCTCGTTCAGCTCATCCTGGATCTCTGATGATTCCCGAGCGCTCTGGATGAACGTCGCAAAGAAGGGATTTCAAACAGGGCACAGAGAAAAATAAACAGAATAGGATCAATGCTGATCTAGAAGTTTGATCAAACAAGTAGCACTTCATTTTGCTCTGTGTAGTTGAAACACCTCTTCATTTCGTTTGTGACTGAACTCTGATTTAATGAGACATGAGGTCACAGAAGTCCTGATAAACTATATATTAAGGTAGCTGTCACCATGTTAAATATACAGCGTAGCCATGTTGCATTCTTATCACAGATTTTCAACTTCAGAAGTGTTTCATCTGATTTTGATCACTTGGAAGGGTGAAATTCTGCCTGCTGAGATCAAATGGAACAAACCATTAGCTTACTTGCATCTGACGGCAATGCAAATCTATAGGAGCCTTTTAAATCTTCCAACTTGACGTATTCTGACTTGCTTTCCCCCCAGTTCACATAAATATCAACAAGTGTCAAGATCTGTTTTTAAAACATATTGCCCTTCATCAAAATAAAAAATAAAATGACCATTTCCAAATCTATTTTGGAAATATTGCTGCCACATCACTTTTCCTCCCGCAAAGTGTCAAACTCTTCATTTCAGGCCTAACTTCAAACATTCGAAGCATTAGAAATGCAACCTGTTTTACATAATCACAGATTCTATAGCCTCATTTTTCAATCTTTATTTTATATTGAGCTCAAAAGAATATACTCTTCCCATATTTTCTAACAAAACTGTTATGTAAACATGTGAATTTAGTCTGTGGACAGAATTCTGCCTCTTCTATAGACAGCTGCATCTGCCTATGCGCTCAGCAATGTAAATGCCCTCCAGGGGATGGGACTCCACCTCTCTATCTGGCCTTTTGCAGACCCAAAATAAGACAAACACACATGCTGTCGCCGATCAATTTGGGCAAAAGCAGAAAAAAAGGAGGGATGCTAAACAGTGATGCTATAGCCTTAAGGTGTGATACTTTAAATTGATTTTCTCCACCTATTTCCTTTTGTCTGCTCTGAGCAGCAGCTTAATGGCAGACTGCTGTTGATATTTGATGGTCATATCTATATCTAGGCCAGCAGGCTCTTGTTGATGGGTTGTAATGTGTTTTTTTCTGATCTGACACAGGCTATTGGCAGATTCTGGTCCATGTTCATCAAAGCTTTCAATAAATATGTTCCCTTGTGTCTTATTTGTGCTTTATTCGCTTCCCTGTAATGAGAAATTCTTGACAAAATGTCAAATGTTTGTGCATGTGTATGTTAGCAGGACAAAATTGGTTGCTTTTGTTTCCCAACCTTGTGGAGGGACTCCATCATGGACTCCAGCTGCTCCCGTTTGGACAGCTCCTCCTCCCATCTGCAACACAGCGCACACAGGCTGGTCAGTTACTGTTCGGCCCAGTCCAACAGGGGCCCACCACATGGGGTAATGTTATTTTTGTGGGTTAATACTTTCATCTCTGATTACAAAACGTCCTTGACAGTGTGGTTAACACCCACTGAGTCTGTCCTTATTCACGCTTTTGTCTCCTACTTCCTTTGACGTTTTTACAACCCCACTGCCTCAATAACAATTCCAAGGAAGAATGGAGCATTAGCCTTTTTCAAACACAACAAACATTGTTCATGAATAGTCTTTGAACCTTTTAGCGAGGGCAGGGTGGAGCATCCCTGCTGCAGCCTGAAATCCATCATGCTGGCACCCTCCAATGCCTTTTTCTCAGGGGCTGTGAAATTTGTTTCTCATGTGATACAGATGAAAAGCTTTTAAAAGTTGGACAGTGGTAAAACCAAGCAACAAGAAATTCACAACTTAAATCCAAATGTTTATTGAGGATAAGCAAAGGCTGAAATATTTGTGCATCATCCGTTTTTCAAATAAGCTGATCAGAGTAAAAAGAGTACAAAATTCATCAATGTAGTGGTGTTTTCTTGGGAAAGTGCTATTCAGGAGCGCACCATTCAAGATTCAAAATCAGGCCTGAGTCAAGTTCCAAGTATTAAATGTAGTCATCCTAGTCAAAGATATTTTACTTTCCACGTTGAATGAAGTGGGTTTGAAAATACAGACACTGGATGACACATTAAGTGAACAGTATTCCACAATAACTTTATGGCCATTTTATTTGATTTTTTTTACTTCTTTTTTTTTATTGGTGAACAAGGCCAGTTAAACTGATTATAACTTTGATGTGTTCAAAGTGTAGCTGCCCAGTGGAAGCCGAAATAGGTTCCAGTTCTCAGACTCTAAATATGATTAAGAAATCATCTTTTAACATTTTATTACACAGATGTATCTTATTTTTCTGGGTTTATCTTGTTAGAATGCCAATATTTGAGATCAATATTGAGATAATCAGAAACCAATGCAAGCTCAAAATATACAAGAAACACATTCACGTTTATTTAAATTTACTATAAAGTTTATATAATGACGAGTTGCAAAACACCCAGAAGTTGTGACATTTTATTTAAATGTCTGCATTATGGTTATTGGAATTTCTCCTGTGGAACATCAATATCTGTACAATCACCCATGGTAATGGCTTAATAGATGTATCCAGTGACATTTCCCATCCATACATTTACAAAACTGGTGTTACTAAAAATAAAGAGCCAGACCCGCCGATCACAGCAAGCTATGATTATCCCGACGGTTAATGTTTCCGTCTCCCTCCCCTCTCCTCATATGATCATTTTGCACCATGGCAGTTATGTACAAACAGAATTTAATTGTCTTGCAGCGTGTGTTGCACACAAAGCCCAGAGGACCAAGCTTTCTCCATCAGCCCCGCTCCTTATATCCACTCATCTTGTGGGAGAAAGCAGCGGTGCTGAGTCACAGACGCTTCCCTGAACACAGTTTGAGCTTCAGAATGAAGAGAATCATTCTGAAGTAAGCAGTAACCACACTGTATCACACAACCATGTAACCATGTGACAAATAGCCTCATAGAGACGATAAAAACAAAGTGTGTGTGAGCGAGAGAGGTTGGAGAAAACTTGGTGAGCAGTGTGAGTAACAGTGTGTGCCGGTGTAAGCAGCACACGCATGCCAGGCCATATATGTTTACTGGAGGGGAGAAATATGTCATATGAGTAGCAGGGGTGACTCCTGAGTACCTGTTACCATAGCCCTAGAGAAACTACAACGTAGCCAAAAATAAAAAGATGACCTTTTTCAAGATACTCGTTTTCATTCAGAGTTTACTGAATGTACACGGTCTCATTAAAGAGAAGTATTCTTTGGCTGGGATTGCCAGCTCGCTCTGAAAGTAAATACTTGCTGTGAAAAATGCTGGCAGTGGTGCTTTACTGTGTCCACAACACTCAGCCTGTCTGCCGCAGGAGTCTGGCGGGGGTCACACGAGTTCACAACTGCATCACATCCTCTGCAGACACACACTTGTCACAGCATCTGCATCACTTATGTCGTCACTTCCTGAAACCCTCTCCCCAGCCTTTTCTGGCACACTGTGGGTGATCACTGGAAAACTGAATGAAATGCCCATAAGGTGAAAGCCTCTCTCCAACAATATGTCATAGTTACCTGTGTCATCTGTCAACGGTAATGGGGTTTCCACATTAGAAATTTGTAATACCTACAAGTCCGGGGAAAAACCATCAAATGTTATTTAGCAAGCAGCTGAAAACAGCTTAGCCAAACAAAGGTGAGATTATAGCAAACCAACATTTGTCCATCTGGCTTCTTCCTTTGCTGTGGTTCCAGTCTTCCTGTGCCTTTGGCGTGACTGAGTCAAAACGGACACACTGTGAGTCTCCTTACAAGGACAAAGACAGCAGGAGGGTCGGAGCCTGTGTCAACTCATAGACATCTGTTTACTGCCAAATATATCCCCTGAGTCTATCTCAAATAAATCATGAAGTGGGATATGAGAGATGTGCCGCTTCCGCTGAAGAAAGCACAGCAACGACAATTTTGCTTTAAGTTTTGGAGACATGAATCAAAATGAATCTCCATAAAATGGTAATTGAAATGGTACTCTTGTATTTGTCTGTCATAGCACAAAATTCTCAGACATGTTCCATCTAACCAATCATGGCAACTGAAACATAGGGTAATAAGTTACGGATACAAGCTGCAACACTGGAATCGAAAGTGATAAAAACATTTTTGTCAGTTTAACAATAACGTACTGACGAGCGGTTGCCAGCAAACACACCCTGCTGGATTCAATGTGTCTGGAAGTTATCTTTGCATGAGAGCCGCCAGGCTGTTTTCCCATTCAGACTCCCAGGAGTCTGAAAAGATCATGCATGGATCCAGATCTGATAAACCAACGATCTGGAGCTTGATTCTTTTTGTCACCGTCTCCTGCGATACACCTGAAGCAGTGTTTTACACTGATCGATTTGTCAGTGCAAAGATCGAATGACTGGTTATGACCGCCAGACCCACAATATTCGTTTAACAATCAAACATTCGTATGATCTTCAGCTTCCAAAGGTCTTATGCAACAGGCACTAAAAACAAAAAGGAGCACTGGGAAAACTTTGAGGTGTGGCACATGTAACATTACAAAGCATCTGTAGCTCATCGCAAATTAAATTCTTAAAAAGACAACACCCTGTTTAAACTTTACTGTGTTGGAAAGGGTGAGTTCATGGAAGATTTCAATAACAAGCTTAACCACAGATCCTTCGTGTAAGAGAAGATGTAATCTCTTCTATCCATAGAGCCATTTCTCTTAAAGGACTTTATTGTGTCAAAATCAGCTCAATTGCTCCTAATTTATCTTAGATTTAATGATTTTCTGCCAGCTTCATACTGGTTTGGTTCTGCAAGCAGGCTGTACGATCTGTGATGGATAGTGAAACTTTTTCCCTTGGCTTGATCAGCCGCTGTGTATATGGATGAAACATATATCGATATCCTGTCCATTCATCAGATTAATGTCAAGTAGAATGATTCTTCACAGGGGTCAAAAGCAAAAAAAGAATCAGTTTGAATAAAGAACATTACTTGTCAAGAAACTATTTCAAGATTTTTGTTTAGATTTATGGTGGAAGACACGTTTGATTTAGTGTTCCATTGAAATATTAAACCTTTCCAAATCTGTACTTCAAGGTAAAAAAAAATTCAATAGTAACAGTTCTCAAAGCAGGAAATCACAGGACAGCCATTAGAAGTTAGGCTGAAACTAGTCACAAATACATGATTAATATCAGCACACTACGTCTTTGTTAGTAAAGATTGTAAGTTTTTAAATACACATAAATTCACAAATCATTCTGGTTTTTCACTGAAGTGAGACTTCCAGACTTGTTATTATTGACAAATGCTCCTTATGAGAACATGCATTATTAAAACAGCAAGGACTGGATGATCACAGAAGAAGGCATGGATACTATTGGCTACAAACAGGAGGAGCACTTTACGGAGCTAAGCAGCCTGAATGCAAGGAGGGCTCAGACAGCAGTGATAAATCACACAGGGTTCAGACCTTATGTGGTTTCTGCCATTTCATTCTTTTTTTTTTGTTGTATGGGGGGTCGTGGTCTGGTGATGTCTTCTCAACAGCAGTATTCCCTATTCCCTGTTACACAGGATGTAAGAGTCATTTTCATTTTCACAAAGATCTTATGCTTCATGGAGGAGGGGGGATGCATACACGTGCTACACAGACATTAAAAAGGGAGCAAAGCGTGCGTTACTTGACCACAGCTTCAGTAGGTCATTGATTGAAAGTCTGTACGCTCAGTAATCTATAGCCTCCCCAGACCCCACAGAGACACATATATGACTCACTAATGAATCAGTTGTGTGAAATGGATCAGACTGGCATGTGGAGCAGCTCAGGGCCTGGCCGTCTGGATGCACCGGGATGTCTGCTGAGGAGACAACAACCCAAGGTCGAGAGCCATTTCATTTTCCCCATCCAGCTTCCTGTTTGACCTCAATAAATAACCATAACAACACACACACACACACACACACACACACACACACACATATATGTCTTTTATAACCACATCTTTCCATGGAAATTGGCATCTGATATGTATGCAGATGAATTTCTGGCTCACTCAGAAATATAGGCTTTGCATGCAGAATATTATATTTGACTGGGAAACTATTTACTTTCTAAATGCTAAATATAACCTTCCTTCCTAGAATCTCCTAAAATTCCCTCTTGTATTGTTGTTCCTGATTTTGTTTTTAAAATTATCCTAAATAAAAATCAAGGCTTAAGTTAAACTCAAGAATCAGTTTTCTTATAAAAAATAAAGTATTTTCTACTCCTCCATATTTCTATATTTTCCCAGGTCTAAAGCCTGTTAGTACCACTGCACTGACAAACAAAATATGAAGAGTCATAAGATGAGACAGCAATT